CTCTCTCTATTTCTCTCTATCTCCTAGTGGAAGATGAGAGTGTTCTATATCTCTCATATACCCTCTATCTATTCATCTATCTATCTATCTATCTATCTATCTATCTATCTATCTATCTATCTCTATCTCTTTCTATCTCTCTCTATTTCTCTCTCTCTATCTCTTAGTGGAAGATGAGAGTGTTCTGTATCTCTCATATACCCTCTATCTATCTATCTATCTTGGCTGGAATCCTGTTAGCTAGTCCCAACTAGAGCAAACACATATCTTTAAAAACAGCTGGACCAAGGATGCTGCCTGTCTAGTGAGTGGTTTGAACACTCTTGGCCCAGAAATCTTTGAAGTTAGATTAAAAACAGCCTACCTGGTTCATTATAGATGAAAACTGGACATGTGCAGCCAAGTAACCTCAGAATGTGGTGAAGATGGCAAAAGTTATTAGTTGGTACATCATGCCTGTAGAGGGGGGTTGCAATAGGACAGAAAAGAACATTTAAAACTTCCAAGTTCTGCCCATTTTTTAAGGAAGAATCTGGTGAATATTCCTAATATTGCCTAATATTCCTCTGACTATTCGTTGCCTAAGAAAACATGGGGTGGCCATAAGTCAACAGACAACTTCAAGGCACACACACACAAACACAATAAATTATATTGAAGTCTTGGTTAAGCCTCTGCCATTTCCATTAGTAGTGTCAACAAATCAGGTCCTAGGATGCAGAGATTGGGATTGGCTTGGAAAAGACATTTTTTTACACTGGATGCTTGCCATGGATCCTGCAATGGGTGGTATGGCTCTCGACCTCCCCTAATAGTTTTGTTGTTAACTACCTCGAGTCGGCCCTATGGATGAGAGATCTCCAAGAAGACCCTCTGTCCTCCCCTGCTGTGCGTAATTCCTGCAAACCCTTAAGACCCAAAGTGACCTCCGTAATAGAGTCCATCCATCTAGCAGTACCTCACTCTAAACTATGGGGCAAATTTGGGCCACCAACTCTATGTGGTTGAGCCTCCAAGTCAGAGTATTCTAAATGGTAGAACGCTAGGGCTGCATCCACACTGAAGAAATAATTCAGGTTGATGTCATTTTAACTGCAATGGCTCAATGCTATGGAATTCCAGGATTTGTACTTTCGTGAGATACTTAGCCTTCTCTCTCAGAGAGCTCTGATGCCACAACAAACTGCAAATCCCAGGATTCCATAGCATTGAGCCATGCCAGTTAAAAGTGATAATCAAACTGCATCAATTCAGCAGTGCAGATGCAGCCGTGGAGGGCACTTCCAAGTACACATTTTACTGCCCAGAGTTAATCATAGTTAAGAATATTTGAGTGGTAATGGAGCGAGAAATTAATTTGCCCTTCTGCAAGTATCTGCAAGTATCTGCAAGTAAGAAAAATGAAAAACAACCTGCCTGCCAATGTTGAGATTCCCCCTCACCTTAAATAACAGTTCTGTGGGCCTTGTTGCAAAAGAAGCATGTTTAGTAGACCCTGATTCCTTAAGTGCACAGCCAGTGTGGCATAATGGCTTGAGCACCAGACTACAACTCTGGAGACCAGGGTTTGAATCCCAGCTCGGCCATGGAAACCCACTGGGTGACCTTGGGCAAACTCTCTCAGCCCCAGAGGGAGGCAATGGCAAACCTCTCTGAAGAAATTTGCCAAGAAAAACCCACAATAGGTTTGCATTAGGATCACCATAATAAGTTGAAAACAACTTGAAGGCAAACAACAACAAATACCTTAAGTGGCTGAATCTTCCTCCTTGTTCCTCGATTCTTTTGGTGTCTGGTCTACAGCAGGATCCCCAAGGATATGTAGAGGCAAAGAACCAACGGAGGTTCGGGAATCTGTCAAAAGTCACAATCTTCACAAAATGCATCTCAGTTCCATTAACATGGTTACAGTGACCTCCAGTGGAAGCCAAAGTGCTTAGCTGGCAAATGTGCATTCGTGTTGACATCTGTAATATTGAATTCTGGCTCAGAGAATAAGAGAGAGCAGTTCTTAACTAGGCTTTAAAATTAAGCAAGGGAAGAAGAGCCTGGAAGAGGGACTGACTTACACTACAACCCCTAGCCCAGTTGTATGGGGAAATTTTTGGAATTTGTAATCCTCAAAAAGGCCCTTTTCCAAGTTTTAAAGAAGGGACAGATAAAATGTGGCTGGGATTGCATCTCCGAGCAACGGTAAGGAATGCTGGGAGTTACAGTCCAATAATATTTGGAGGGTCACATTTTTCCCATACCTACTCTCAAGGGTGGCTGAGATGAACCAAGCACTGCTAGGACACTGCCCCTATTTTAAAGGAATTTTATACAGTTACATAAGCCCCAACTTACCTAAGTTCCACTGAAGGCAGGAACAGTTTGAAAACAGTTTAAGGCCAAGATCCTGTTAAGCACTCATACAATGCAAATTTAACACAAGCGTATTTATGCAGGTGTTGCACCAGATTGCACTGTTGTAGCTCAGCGTCACATAGTACATCCACTTGCAAATCTGCACTAAGGTGAAACATATACCAGCTTTGGATGCCTCCTCAAGACCATATTTTGCTTTGTGGGAATAGCTGCAGAATAGTTGGCTATGTCCCTGTAGCTAAACACAAAATGATTACAACAACGGAGACTTATGGAGTACCCCATCATCATGGATATCGTCATTTTGCGTCTTACTATGGAGAGATGCTTTTGTGAGAAATCTCCTCTGAAGACATCTTGTCAAGGTACCCTAGGAGATGGCTGCCATCAGTCAGGGTCAACTTGAACACACAAAACAATAAATCAGTGTGATGTAGTTGTTTGACTAGGCTGGACTTTAGGAGTCCTTAAAATGGCAGCAAACCAAGGTTCGCATCCTTGCTCAGCAATGGATGCAAGTCACATTCTTTCAGCCCCAGAAAAAAGCAACCATAAACCCACTCTGAACAACTCTTGCCAAGAAAAACCCATGAAAGGTTCACCTTAGGTTCATCATAAGTCAAAAACACTCTGAAGGCACACAACACCAACAACAACAGGAACAAAATCAGGAGTAATACAAGGTGGCCTTTGTTCCCCTATCCCCATTTTTGCAAAGTACAGTCTGCAAAACAAACCAGAGTAGCCATGGTACTTTATTACTCCAAATTTATTAGTGAGTCTAGATTAATTCTCTCCTAAGGTCACCTGCATGCAACAGAGATCTACGGCATTACTCCTTGAAGTATAGTAATTCTAAAGGTTTTTTTGTTACTGCATGGTAAGGCTTCTTTAGTCACAGTGTATTGTTTTTGTTTCCTTCAAGGCCTTGGCCAAAAGTAGAAGGGCAGAGGGAGAAAAAGAAAATCAAGACAAAAAAGTTACATCAGTTGACATTTATCTCATAATGAAACACAACATTACTAGTACTTGGTTTTATTGTCTCCACAAAGTCTAATACTGTTGATGGCGGGTGATTTCTCCGTTTACATTCAGTCCACAGAATTGGCTCAGGGGAACAAATAATAATAATAATAATAACCTAGAGAGAACAACCCAAACCGAACAAGATTAAACACGTTTTGTAAAAAATTGTTTCTTTAAAGCATGGCTTTCCCATAGTAAATGCATGTTCAACCCAAGGCTGATATGGAAGGTTGCAAGATATCGAAAAACCCAGTGGTAAAAGCCTCTCTCTCCAAACTGGAGGAACACGTCTCCATCATTAAAAACCTACACGTCTCCATCATTAAAAACCTACACTCTCCAGAATGCAAAAAAAGCACTTCATCTCAATAAATATTCCAGCTTTTCATATGGTGGCAATTATTCGCTTTAAAAGAAAATTTTATCGCCCCCCCCAAAAAAAATCACTCCCACCCGACCCTTTGTTCCTGTTTCACACTTAAGTCACAGCTCATCAAAACTCACATTAATTACACTTGTCAATAAGAATACTAATGACGACAGTAGGGTTTCCCCCCTTCTTTTGATTAGCATTAAACATGTCCCCCTTCCCTCCCTATCACCCACCCTCCCACCCAACTGGCCCTTAGAATTGCATACATTCTTGGTCATTGCAAAAATCTGGTCTGCCCTTTTGCTGACTCCCCCCTCCCCAGCAAATTTGACAGCCAAACATGCAGACTTCCACGATTTCCAAAATGCCTGATGGCGGGAGGGGATTACACTTTTTCCCCTAATTTTTTTATTTTTTGCAAAGTTCTTCATTCACACATCCTGATTTGCCATGTTGTACATGTGCTTAAATCATGAGATGGATGTGCCACGGTACTGTTTTTAATACGTATTGCAAGCACTACCCGCTAGCAGAGAGAACCCACAAAGACCCACTGCCACCAAGATGGGGCAGGGAGAAGACAACATGGCAGTGGGATGGGGTGGGGGTATGCCAGAGACCCTCATGGTGGAATTTCAAACCTATGCTTGTAAGTGTCCCCATGAAACAAAAGGATTTGCTGAGGATGTTGCAAAATACTTCAGTGTATTAGAAAGATGGTGTCAGTGGTTATCGTCCAGAGTAACAGCTTCATCTTTTGGCAACAAAATGCTTTAAAAAAGAGAGAGAAACTTAGGAAAAGAGGAGAAAAGAAAAGGCAAAGAAGCTGAGATCCACTGAGAATCCAGAACATCCCAGATTTGGTTCAAACCTTTTCCGTTCCTCCGAAATACAAAATTCCGCTCAAAGGGTGCTAATATCCGGCAGAATCGTTCAAGTTCTTTTTCGATATGAGAGACGCAGTTTTGCATTAGATGTACAGCGGTGTCTCCTGCCCAGTTAGCAACCGGAACATGGCCGCTGGCATAGTCTTCATATGAATCTGTTAAGGAGTTTATGAGAGGATGAATAAGAATTAATGAGATCAAGGTGAATGTAATTTGAAATTTAGGGAAGAGCTTTAGGGGTTCACCCAACTACAGATCCCAGGATGTAGTCATGGCAGCTGAGTTGGCATCAAAGTGCTATAATTATGTAGTATGGAAGAGACCCTGGAGGGCCACACTTTGTACTTGGTCTCCTTTAAAGCTTGGAAATGTTTAGATTGACAACCCATCCAACTGGTAAGGGCCAAGATGGCCAACAGCCTTTATAATAGGGGTGTAGGATCTAAAAATGCTACTGGGGGTCTGGATGCTGAAATTAAAATAGAAAACCTTTCCCAGTTCTCCCTTTTGGCACAATCTCAGGCAGTTTCGGCACAATTTTGCAGAGTTTCTCCAGTATTGCAGAATTTGTGCACAAACCCAACAGTTTTGCACAATTGTGCAGTCTTATCCAATTCTCCATCCCCCCCCAGTCGCTCCCAATTTTTGCACTATCTTGCTCAAGTCTTCTTTTCTTACACTATTCTTGTTCAACTCTCCATTTTTGTACATTTTTTTAAAGATCAGGAAGGCTGGCCAAGGCCCCCAAAAGGAGAGTAGTCCAGGAAGCTGAGGGAGGTTCAAGGCCACAAAAACAGCTTTAGTGGGCCTTTAGAGTCAACCACTATTCAGGAGCATACATTATTAATTTTCGTCCTTTCCTCCCAACAAAAAAAGAATCCAAAACAATCCTAACAGTGTGTGAAATCTTATTGGGGCATTGCATCTTTGTAAGTGGACTTATGTCTGTGGGAATTAGAATTGTGCAGTTGTGAAATGTTCATATCCAGTGGAGGGCTGCTCTTAAGATTACTATGTAATGGTAGGCAGCAAAGTGCCCAATGCACATCAGTGTGCGTCATGTTCTGATGTGCACCAGGCACTCTTGTTGGTGTCTTGTTACACTTCACAATTCTGTAAAGGGATTTCTTTGCGCCTCTGCTATGTAGCTAGGTATACGTAAAGTTATGTAACATAACAGGTCATACAGGATTTCAGTGAACCATTGCTATGATGGAGGCAGGTTTCTACAAGGGAAGACTCACCTCTCCCACGGAGTTGGACAAAGCTTGCACAATTTTTTCATGTGCGGTGGCAACAACACTTTGCCCATTGATCTCGATGATGCGATGACCCACTCGGACCCCACCTCGTTCTGCTATCCCTCCTCTCATCAGACTGCAGATCTGCCCAGAAAGAAGAGAGGGGAAGGAGGAAAAGGGAGAAGCATTTAGTTAAATGAAAGAGACACGATTTGGTCAAATGTATTTCTATGTTTGGCTCTCATTCTGCTAGTGACATATAGCAGTTACTCCTGAAGATACACCAGGACAATTTTGTAGAAAATTCCTCAGATGCAGAAATTGTAGCATAAGATTTTGTAGACTTGGTAAACTTCCTCAGATGCAGAAGTTATAGCATAAGCTTTTGCAGACTTGGTCTACTCAGACCATGCTTATGCTACAGCTTCTGCATCAGAGGCAGAAGACCAAGTCTACGAAAGCTTATGCTACAACTTCTTTCCTACGGTCAGCACCTCGAAGGTGCTACAAGATCTCTTTGCATACTGATATCCCAGACTAACACATGTCTCTATGTCTTTGAATTCTTTCCTCTGAATGTTCCAGTACAGTTCTTAGCTCAAAGGATAAATTAAAATATATTTTGAAGAAGAAAAGTTGCACACACTAAGATTGCACATTAGGGAAATAGCATACAAAAACAATACAAATTT